ACGAGTAAACGCCTTCCTCCAACCAGCATCTTGCCGTCAAAACAGTATTCTTTAGCCTCTGTCCAGTACTGAATAAGAATACCGCCATCCCCCCCCCGTTTTTTTTATTGCTCATTAATTTTTGTTTCGTTTTCGTGTTTGTTTGTCGCCCCCACCCTCCCCCCTCCCACTCTCTCTCTATCTCTCTCTCTCTCTCTCTCTCTGTCGCTCTCTCTCTGTCTCTCTGTCTCTCTGTCCCCCCCCCCCCTTTTTTTTCACAAATGTCTAGATTTCTCTGTCTCTCTTCTCAATAAATAAATCATTCGCCTTGTACAAGTTCATTTTTCGAGTTAGAAAGAGATCGTATTTAGTGTGCCCGTCTTTCTACTGGGATACTGTATCCCAATCCCGAGATATGGCCATACCAGACAGAGTCGAAGCGGCCCGCTTCCTAAAGGATTTGTATTGTATTTCGCCTCAAAAAGCGTGCACGATACACCTGTAATGCATAGAATGGTGTAAAACTTCTGCAATATAAAGCTCTAGCTTTAAAGTTTGAAAAATACGAAGAGTTATACAGGCTAAATTGATAACTGGATGTCAACATCCCAAATTTTCGGAAAACCAGCTCGATTAGGCTGTCTGGAACCACCGAAAGGTAAGACTGTCGCACGCGCAAGCACGTTTATAGCACTACAAACTCCAATGCTGGCTCCGACAAACATTTCAGTCCTCTTGCGCACCTGTTTTACGTTATGTAATTCTGTCAGACATGACAGCTGTGAACATCCTGCTTTCACTGAGAGAAAACGAAGACAAAAGATACTCAGGTAGACCAATGATTACTGCCTAGGAAATTGTAAACAGATGGGTGACGGGAAAAGACCTGTTTAATACAGTTTTTATAACACCTGAGCAGAGAATGAAGGGGCAAACCATAATCACAAATGTCTCTTCCAGCTATGGCACTTAAATTCGAAGAAAAATACATTTTAACTAAAGTTGTCAACTGTGGTACTTAATGATGAAGACCTTACGCCTTTTCTTTGTTGCGCGATCTTTACACTTTGTTCTGAGCTCAGACATGGAGTTTAGTTTTCTCTCTCATTTTTTATAATAACCACCTTCTTATTTGACGCTTTTTTGTGCTATTATGTTTATCAAAGTTTCATTGCTTTTTGATAAGGGAGGGGGGGGGGATGCACCTGAAGGCTATCTCGCTTATTAGTAGATCAAATTTTACCAAATTTTACACATATAACAAACATAGTCCGCAATCAAATTTGAGAAAAAAAGTTTCGTTTCCATGGATACGGCAGCAAGATTGGATTTTGTTGACATATCTTACGTAATGAAGCCCACACTTATTTTGCATGGAAATAGATTGCTGTTGGGTTTTTTTTTTTACATGTAAAGAATCGATCTACAAATTTGTTTGTTGAATCTTTTCTAAACGAAAGAGAAAATTTTAAATACATTTTTTCCTGAGGTAGTATTCAAGTGAAAATCCACACTCCAGACACCACCACCAAAAATCTATTCCATAATCAAAAGTTAATCATAAATTCAGCAGACAAAGTTTTAGAATTATGTCTTTTCTTTATTTTGTGGAAATTTAATTAAGATTGGATGAAAAATGGTGGAGTTATCCCCCCCCCCAAATATTGTATAGAAAAACCGTTTTGAGAAAATGGGCGATAAATAAAAATATAAAATTGACTTTATGAGGAAATGGTGGTGTCAACCATGCCCGGTAAGGGAAGAAATAAGGCTCTGGGGGATTCTTATGCAATGAAATAGTTTTAAGAGAGGCTGAACAAGCCAAAAATGCCTACAACTCAAAATCCATGATTTTAAGCCGAACTCTTCACTCTATCTACTGACAAATAAGCCCGTGCCACCGATAAAAAAGCGACACTGACACTATGAACATAACACACTTCTCACAAATGCTAACACACGCATATACACCACAAAAATGCAGTTTTCCAGAAACACATAGTCGGGTATCGATCCACATGTGTGCGATTCCAAGCCAGATTCGATCGCCGCCCCCTCAACCCCATAATATCCAACATGGTGGCCCACTACCAACGTTGTCATACTTCCAAGTGGTAGCAGCAACAGCAGCAGTCGCCTACAGCACAGTCTGTCCTACCCCCTACCCAGTCACCTATACCCGGTCTTTCATTCATCACCTTGAACCAATAGCCTGAGAGGGAATGCAGACTATCATGTCTTTTCTTCACACCTTCCAATGTCGCCGTGCCTGATGCCGCGACAACAACAACAACAACAACAACAACAACAACAACAGCAACAACAATGGCAACAGCGGCGGATTATAATAATGAAAAAGTCAAGAAAAACAACAATAACAACAATGGTACTAATTGTAATTGTAATAATGATAAATAATAATAACAACAACAATAATAAAAACAACAACAGCAATGATAATAATAACAACGCCAATAGCAATAATAATAATGATAATAATAATAATAATAA